AAAGAAACATTAAAATGGGCAAAAGACATAAACAGACACTTCTCAAAACTTACAAGCGACCAGCAGACATATGAAAAAATACTTCACATCACTAATCATCAAAGAAATGTAAATCAAATAGCTACAATGAGATTTGCTATTACTAAAAAGTCAAAAAACAGCAGATGCTGGTGGGGCTGCAGGAAAAAAAAGGAATACTTTACACTGCTGGTGGAAATGTAGATTAGTTCAGCCCCTGTAGACAGCAGTTTAGGGACTTCTTAAGGAACTTAAAACACAACTACCATTTGACCCAACAAATCCATTACTGGGTATGTACCCAAAGAAAAATAAATCTTTCTACCAAAAAGACACATGAACTTGTATGTTCATTGTAGCACTATTCATAGTAGCAAAGACATGGAATCAGCCTAGGTGCCCATTAATGGTGGTTTGGATTTTTTTTTTAATGTGGTACTTATACACAATGGAATACTATACAGCTGTAAAAAAGAATGAAATCATGTCCTTTGCAGCAACATGGATGCAGCTGGAGGCCATGATCCTAAGTAAATTAATGCAGAAAACCAAATTACTCACTTATACGTGGGAGCCAAATAATGGGTACTCATGGACATAAAGATAGCCACAATAGACACTGGGGACTACTAGAAGGAGGAAGGAGGGGGACACATGTTAAAAAACTACTATGCTCAGGACCTGGGTGACAAGATCAATCATACCCCAAACCTCAGCATCACATAAAGTATCCAAGTAACACATCTGTACATGTAGCTCCAAATCTAAGATAAAAGTTGAAATCAAATTTCAACTTTTTAAAAATTAAAAAATAAAGTAAAACAGATGGCCATTGTGGTGGCTGCCAATATTTCTGCTATTACAACAATAATTCAATGAACCTTTCATATCTATTCCCTTGCACATTAGTGCCAGTGTGTACTAGAAGTAGACGCTAACAAGTTAAACTTCTGGGGCACAAAGTATACATATTTTCCATTTCAATAGATGCTATAAAACTGCTCTCCAGAAAGGCTTTTCCAAAAATGAATTGCATCTCATCTTTGACATCATATGACATTATTTAAAGTCTTTAACAAACAAGGAATAAAAGAAAACTAGCCCACCATAATAAAGGTCATTTATGAAAAGCCCACAGCTAACATTATGCTCAATGGTAAAAGACTAACAGCTTTTTCTTTAAAATGAGAACAAGACAAGGGTGTTCATTGTCCCCACTCCTATTTAACATAGTATCAGAAATCTTAGCCAGAGCAATTAGGCAAGAAAAAGAAATTAAAGACACCCAAATTGGAACAGAAGAAGTAAAATTTTCTCTGTTTGCTGGTAACATAGCCCTATGTGTAAAAAGAAAGAAAAAAAAACCCAAGGATTCTACACACATATTTGATCTAATAAATAATTCAGTAAAGTTTCAGCATACAAGCTCAACATGCAAAAATCAGTAGCATTTTAATACACAAATAATGAACAAAGTAAAAATAAATTTTGAAAAATCCTATTTACAATGGTGTCAAAATAATAAAATGCCTAAGAGAAAACTTAACCAAATAGGTGAAAAATCTGTACACTGAAAACCATAAAACAATGGTGAAAAAAATTGAAAAAGACACAAAAAAATGGAAAGACATCCCATGCTCATGGATTGAAAAACTTAATATTATTAAGATGTCCATACTATTTAAAGCAATCTACAGATTCAACAGAATTCCTATCAAAATCCAGTGGTTTTTTTTTTTCACAAATAGGAAAATTTGTCCTAAAATTCAGATGGAAGCTAAAGGACCCCAAATAGTCACAATAATTTTGAAAAAAAAAAAAAAGTTATATAACCCATACTTCTTTATTATCTTCAATAAATGATACCGCAAAAATTTATACCTACATGAAAAAGAACAAATTTAAACTTTATTTTATACCACATACAAAAATTAACTCATAATAGATTAAAGACCTAAACATAAAACCTAAAACTATAAAACTGCTAAAAAAAAAAATAGAAACCAGAGAAAAAGCTACATAGCATTGGACTTGGTTGGCAGTGATTTATTGACACCAAAACACAGACAACAAAAGCAAAAATAGCAAAAATAGACTAATGAAATCATATCAAATATAACAACTTTTGTGCATCAAAAGGCATAATCATATGATCTAACAATTCTATTTCTGGTAGATATTGAGAAAAAAGGAAAGCAAAGAGATATGTGTTTACCCATGTTTACAGCAGCACAATTCATAAGGGCCAAGAGGTGAAAACAACCCAAATGTCCATCAATGGTTGAATGAATAAACAAAACGTGGTCTGTATATATATGTATGTGTATACATATACGTATATGTACATATGTGTGTATATATATTAGGATAATTATATTATATCATATATTATGTTATATGTTATATAATACAATATATATATTAGGATATTATTCAACTTTACAAAGGAAGGATATCTTGTTACATGCTACAACATGGATGAATCTTGAAGGCATTATGATAAGTAAAATAAGCCAGCACAAAAGGACAAATATTCCATGATTCCATTTATATAAGAAATCTACAGTAGTTAAATATGTAGAAACAGAAAACAGAATGGTGGTTACCAGGGACAGGTTGTGGGGGCAGGGGGTGGTAAAGGGAAGTTTTTGTTTAATGGGTATAGGGTTTCAGATCTGCAAGGTGAAAAAGTTCTAGAGATCTGCTCACAATAATGAAAATATACTTAAAGTACTAAACTGTACACTTAAAAATGGTTAAGATGGTAAACCGTTGTTACTTTTTTTAACCACAATTAAAATTGACAACAAAAAAAGTTGCATTTACATAATTAGAATAATGTAAACATTAAATATTGATTTAACCAATGTGATGATTTAACCATATTAGGAGAAGAGGAAGTAAGAGTGTATTCAAGTGAGTTGAGGGTGTGTGTGTGTGTTACCAGTCTGTCAGATGTAAAATTGTATTCTATTTCTTTATTTCTCTGATCATTAATGAAGCTAAATATCTTTTTATATATGTAGTACCCATATATCACTCTTCTCTGTATTTCCTGTCCATAGCCTTTGCCTACTTTCCTTTGAGTTGTATATTTTTTCTTATTTACATGTAGGATTTTTATGCATTTATTTATTTTTTAAATTCACATAAATTGACATTTTAATTGCTAGTACAATTTCTTTAACTTTATCCTGTGATTTCTAGTCAGCCCAGTAGCACACCTAAACACACAAAGGCATGAAATAAAGGGCTTAGTCTTGCTTTGGCTATGTGGGATATTCTTTGGTTCTTTATATAGTATTGTTTTTTTCTAGTTCTGTAAAGAATGATGGTGGTATTTTGATGGGAATTGTATTGAATTTACAGATTCCTTTTGGCAGTATGGTCATTTTCACAATATTGATTCTACCTATCCATGAGCTACATGTAAAATTTTTTAAATACTTAGAAACTATTTCATTATCTGCTAAATATGCTGTATATATTATCTCCCAATCTTGCCCTTTGACTTTACCTACAATAAATTTTTGATATATAAAAATTTTCATTTTGATTTAGTCAAATGTATGCTCATAATGCTATCCCTTGATTTTACATTTTTAGTTTTAAATTGTGATCATATTTAATTGTTCACACACACACACACACCTCAACTCCACCACTTGAATACACTCTTACTTCCTCTTCTCCTAATATGTTTAAATCATCACATTGGTTGAATCAATATTTAATGTTTACATTATTCTAATTATGTAATTGCTACTGAATCTGCAATCTATATTATGCTACAATGATATTACCTTATTTGTCCTCCTTTTGATTTTTCCTAGAGTTAATCATTATTGTGTGTTTTCATTTGCTTATTTTTGCATCTATTTGTTATTTACCACCAAGCTCTTCCCAATTTGGTAAATTTCCTCTGAATACATTTGCAACTTTTTATTTAATTTCTTCTTGAAAAAATTCTCCTCCCGGGCCTCTGACATACTCCAGTCTGAATTTGTTGAATGTTAGACCTATTGCAAGGCTGCCCCCGTAAGATGACTTTTTAGTGACACGCGATGCCGTCTTTGAGATTGCCTGCATTTTTCTCTTGTGCAGGATGCCTACTGCCTGCATCATATTCTTCCTCTTTCGTAGTTACTCCCACATTTCAGTGAAACATGTCTTTTTGTAACTTTGTACAAAAGATACATAGGTAGAAAATTTTTTTAATTCTCCAGTGCCCCAAAAAGTTGGAGGAGCACTGTACAGGGCAGTGCTGCACTCAAGTGAGAAGCCTTGATCTCTCGTACTGTATTCACCACCTCTGTGATTTTGGGAAAGGTCACACAACTCTCTGAGCCTCAGTTTCTCTTTCTGAAATAGATAATAATCCAAGCTGTGCCTGCTCAGAGTGATGGCGAGGAGAGTGCTTGTAAAGGGGCTTCGTATGGTAAAAGGTACGTACAGTGTGTGCTGGCGCCACACGAGTCAATTGTTGAGGCATTGGTGTCTGAAATTGGCCATGGTAGAAGTATTTACACTACAGAAATTGGCAAATGCTACAGAGAGTTGTTTTGTTTTGTTTTGTTTCCTTTTGGAGGAGAGCTGGTTTAGGAGCACACTACTTACAAATACAAGTGATTATAACAACCAAATAGGGTGCCGTGCCCTCCTTAGTGATCCACGGCCTAATGCATAGCTCAATTATAGTTTTGATCACATATAGTATTATTATATAATAGGTCATTGGCTCCTTGAGACATGAGACTGTGTCCTACTCATGGAGATATATCTCCCCTGCACCCCATTTCCCCCAGTACCTAACACATTGATATTAGGTACCTGGTATCTATTTGATTCCAAATTTTTGAATAAGTGACTAAAATTTTTGATTAATTTCTTCTGTGAGTTGGCAACAACCATAGAGAAGATGAGAGTTGAGAGAAGGGGTTAAAAAAGGTACGTGACACTCAGAACAGCTTTCTCTAGGCATGCCCTGCTAGGTGTGTTAGAAAGAGCTGTCCTTAATGGGAAGTCTTCTATGAGCCGGTCACCATTTTTAGGTGCTATGCAGAAATCATCTAATTCCCATAACAACTTATGAGGTAGGTGTTATCCCCATTTCACAGATGAGAAAAACAAGATGTCTGGTGTTAAGTAACACTCCCTCCATCACTAAGGCTGAGGTTCAAATCTGATGAATGTCTGTGTGCTTAATCATATCTGTACACTGGAGGTAGAAAATGATCTATTGTAAAAATAATCATCATAATCTGGTAAAGCAGATCCATTTAAATTAAGAGGGAGGAGTAAGGATTGTAGCAAAGGCGAACTCAAGAGTCCAGACCCAACCAAAAGGGATAGCTTTGTGACCTGAGAAAATGTGGTCTATTGAGGCTAGAAATTGAAGCTGTTTTCAAGAGAACCTGGGAATGTGGAATTTTATCTCCTGGATTTCAAATGTTGGTAATTACCTCTAATTAATAATAAAAAAGACTTGAGATGAAGCCTCTGTAAGTGGTCTATCAGTTTGCAAATTTTGATATACTGCCTTCCCCCAAAATATGCTTCGAGCAACTAGGGGGCAGCATAAGGGTATGGAGTGTCCCTGGAGGTGGAAATGGATAAAATGAATGGCAAGTTTAGTCCAGCTCACAGTTTCTCCCGGAGGAAAGCAGACACAGGGAGCACAAAGGTCCTGCTATCACGTTGCAGAGCAGAGGCCAACGGAGACGGGAGGAGGATGAGGTAAGGCTCCGCTGCGGGTGCACATTCCGTCTTCTCCAGGCATCCCTGGGGAGGGCACATTCTTCATGCTCAAAAGGCAGAGCTGTTGATTTAAAAGATTCTTAGAATATTCTGTTCAATACCCCCAGAGTGTTCTTCTTGCCTTGGAAACAATATATCTAGGCCATGCCTTGGACTGTGGGACCTGCCTACAAGTGAATGGGAAAATAGTCATGACTCTGGCCCCCTAGGTAGAGTGTCCTGGGGTCTGACCACTCCCTTCAGGTCCCTTGTCCATTGATTTCTTCTTCCCTTCCCAGGGAGTAGTACTGGTCACACTACTAGTTCACAAGCGAATTCCCTGTTCTTTTTCATAAATTTTAGTCTCTGCAAAAAGTTGGGAGATTGAATCCTGTCATCTGGTGAATCTGCAGTTCTTTTTTAATGAAGTTTTAAAATAGCTGCAAAGTTACTTACAATTACCTCTTGAAAATATGAGGAGCCAAGCTATAAGCCCATTCTTCATGGAATGCAGCTGAATCCCTGAGATTATTGGGGAATTTAGATTAAGGACTGATGAGAGATGATCTGGTGATGAGGACTCAAAGAGAAGGTGTCCCCAAGTTCAGGTTAAAATAAGTGGTGCCCGATGCAGAGATGTGACTGCAAGTTGTGAAAGGAAAGTTTAGGCCTGCATGTGATCAACAGTTTGTCTCAGTGAGGGCCCCATGACCGAAGCCTGTCCAGACAGGCTACTGGCACGTGTATTTTGAAAAATCTCTGCTATTCCTGATGGCCTTTCCCAAAAGCCTAATTGAGAACTTCTGTAAATAAAAGCCAAGAGAGATGAAAAAGCTAGGCTGGAAGAGCTGGGCTGTGAATTAGTCAAACTGGGTACAAAGCTTTTAGGGAAGATGTGAAAAGGTCTTCACTGTGACTTGGCTACAACAGCCCCTGGGGAGATGATAAATAGATACAGAGCTTTACAGAGCAATGCTCCCATTGTTCCTTGAGGGCACAAGGGTCTTCAGAGATGGTGCCCTGGGGCTAGAACCCTAATTTCTTTTTAACATTCACAACTCAATAGTGCTTACAGATAAAGACCCCAGAGATACAATGGTACTTTATCAATTAAAAAAAAAAAAAAGAACTGAGGCTCTGCTAAATTCTACTGCAGAACAGAGCACAGTATAATACTTTCCATTATGCTTTTATTTCCTCCGCTGCAGGAATTTAATCCAGGAATAGCCCATCCATGCCCTTGCTCTCCTCCCCCATTAGGAAAGTTTTTCTCCAAGCCCTCTCTCATGTCACCTTCCTGCTTCAGTGCATTCCAGTCAGCAACCTGCCAATCCCAGTCTCTGCTCCTGCAGCCTCACCCTCACCCTCCTGCCCCACTGGCCCACAGCAAGCAGCAGCCTGGGCTCTTATTTATGCATTCCCCTACTCTCAGCCTCAGTTACACTCTCTCATGGAATCTGCATGCCCATCTAATGAGGCAAAGGCTGTTCTTATTTTACAGATGAGGAAATTAAGACAGAAGGTAAAGGAGTAACTTTTTCAAGCTTCCAGAGCCATATGCAAACCCAGATTGAGCTGGACTTCAAAACATCCTGATGATTATCTAAAATCCCAGCAAAGGATGTTCTTATTTTATAGATGAGGAAATTAAGACAGAAGGTAAAGGAGTAAATTTTTTCAAGCTTCCAGACCCATATGTAAACCCAGATTTAGCTGGACTTCAAAAGATCAAAACCTCCTGACAAATACCTAAAATCCCTGACTTGACCATTATGCAATCTATGCATGTAAAAGAAATTGCACATGTACCCCAGATATTTGTACAAATCAGATAAAGCAGACTGAAGTATGGCGATAAATACCTTAAAATAGGCAAAACAAACAAACAAAAACCATCCGATCCGTTTTCACTGAACAATCCACACACCCAATCTTTCCTTTTTCATGCTTCTCTAGTTCCCCATCAAGCACCCTCTCTTTTTAACATAAAGTCACTCTTCCTCTAAATTTTTTGGCTTCCTCTTTCTGATACCCAACAAATTTTCCTCTTCTCCTTTTTGCTATGTATTCTCCTGGACTAGGATTTATGAGAATCAACTCCAATTCTGTTTCAACACCATTAACATGATCTTGGGCAACAAAATAATTCTATAACACCCTGTGAAGAAGATGCAGTTGCTTTCTCCAAGGGGAACCTAGCACCATCGACTTGCATTTGTCTCGGCCTCCATCCCCATACAGCAGGTTATATTTTATTTGGGTGACTAGGTACACGCACACAACATAGAGGACAAATCAGTGCTTCTAAGAATTGTGGGGAATCTAAAAATTTGGTAGAAAGTCAGATAATGGGTGACTGCAACCCCCTTTGGACTAGCATAGTTGGCAATGACCTAATAGAGGAATAGAGAGATTCAAGGTAAGTCTAAGAGCATGGGTTCATGTCTTAGCTCAGGCTGCTGTAACAAACCCCACAGACTATGTGGCTTAAACAACAGGAATTTAACTTCTCACAGTTTGGGAAGCTGGAAGTCCCAGATCAAGGTGCTGGTCAATTTGGTTCCTGGTGAGAGCTCTCTTCTGGCTCACAGAAGGCTACCTTCTTGCTCTGTGTTCTCTTGGCTTTTCCCTGGTGCCTGCACACAGAAAGACAGAGCAAGCTCTCTGGTGTCTCTTCTTACAAGGACACTAATCTTATCAGATCCGGGCCCCACCCTTATGACCACATTTAAACTTGATTACTTCCTTGGAAGCCTCAAATTCAAATACAGCCACACAGGGGCTTAAGTCTTCAATGTATGTATTTGTGGAGACACAAACATTCAGCCCCTAACAAGGGGATATGTCTAAAGAGTGTGATGGAAAGCACTGCAGACCTAAGCAGCATGAGAGAAAATAAGGAGGTAAGAAAATTGTATATGTATAGGTAGGTGTATGTGTACGTGTGTATGTGTGTGTGTTTGTGTGTGTGTGTGTGTGTGTGTGTGTAGAGTGTGCACATGTAGTACATGAAAGGACATTATTTCTTTTTCTTCTTTTCTTTTTTTTTTTTTTTTTGAGACAGAGTCTCACTCTGTCACTAGGCACCAGGCTGGAGTGCCGTGGTGTGATCTCGGCTCACCGCAACCTCCGCCTCCCAGCTTCAAGCAATTCTCCTGAAAGAGGACATTATTTCTGAACATATATTAATTTAGTACCCACTGTGGGCCAGGCACTATTCCAGGCACATGGGTATATCAGTGAACAAAAAAGACAAGGCTCCTACCCTCATGAAGTTCACCTTCCAGCAGGCAGAGACAAACATGAACAGAGTGAGTAAATTTTATCAGATGTGTACAAGGGATAAGCACTATGGAAATAAGAAGGAAGTAGAACAGGCTGTGGAGGCCAGGGGTAGGGATGGTGCAGGGAGGAGGCTGAGAAGCTCAGTTAGGGTAATCCACATGGGCCTCATGTGAAGGAGAGAACTGAGCCAAGGCTTGAGGGAGGTAGTGAGGGGGATAAGCCAGTGAAAGCACAGCAGGCAGAGGGAAGATAAAACAAAGGCGTGAGAGGCAGGACAACACAATGACACTTAGGAAAGAATGAAGAGGTGGGAGAGGAGGGAGGAAGAGCAGGAGCTGTAGACAAAGTCAGAGTGACCTCCAAAGCCACTTCAAGAAGGACTTGGTGGGTCCCCTACATCAATGGGAATCATTGCAGGGTTTGAACAAAGGCGTGACACGGTCTGACTTCCTGAAGTCTGGCTCTAGCTGATGTGTGTAGGGCAAGGAGCTGAGAGGTCAGTGTTTATTGCAATGATCTAGAGGAGACATCATGATGGCTCAGACCAAAGTAGTGACAGGGGAGGCAGGAGCAGGGATCTGACTCTGAGTGTGTTGATGGTAGAGCCAAGAGAATTTGCTGACAGGCTGGGAAAGAACAGGAGGACGCAAGAATGATCTCGAGTATTGTGTTTACTTGTTACGCCAGGTCATTTCACTAGCTGAGAACTGTACCTCCTCCGCTCCAGCCTCACTGCTCTTACTTTAGGGATGAGAAATGCAGGGCACAGAGAACCTCGCTGTATGACCCAAAGTGTCTGTGCAGTTAAGGGATTCAAACTCCAAATTGTTCTTGTTTGTAATACTCAGCATAACTTCATTTTACATTAGTTGAGATCTATATTGTTAAATGTGAGCATTCCTTGACCGCCCTTTGAAAAACCGCCATACTATTCTCCCTGTTTCTCTTTCTTACTTTAGTTTGCTCCCTAGGAACTGCCAATATCTAACATAATATATATTTTACTCACGTATCTTGTTTATCTTCTATTTCTTCCCATGAGAATATAAGAGCAATTTTTCTCAGTTTGTTGACTACAGTATATCTACTGCCTAGAAGAACGTCTGTTGTGTAGAAAGTGTTCAGTAAATAAGTATTAATGGAAAGCATGCACCAAGGTGTGAAAGGAAGAGGGGAAGGAAGGAAGGAAGGGAATGAGTGAGTCAGGAAAGACAAAGTGAGAGAGAAAAAGAAAGACAGGAAATAACTCTCCAGGTTCTTTGTCTCATGTATCTACACACAAACATAGAACACACAATAATAGAACAAAAATTAAAAGTAATGAAATTAATTCAATGAAAAAATGGTTTAGAAAACCATACATTTGACTTTTATATATTCATTTTCCCCAAATGATATTGAATCTGGGCACGTTTTCTTTATTCCAGAATATTTGAAATCCTCCCAGTGTTCCCTGGATGCGTAAGAAGCTAAGGTGGGAGTTAAAGAAGCTATGAGTAGGCTGTATTTTAAATGGGTATTGAGCAATTAAGTTAGTGACTCCATTCTTTCAAGTAATGCTGAACTGTTTGTATCAGGAGCATTTAGTGTCCCATAATTCTGAAACCCCTCAGGGAAGAAAATGCATCAGTGGCTTATGTATGAACCGAAAAACTGAAATTTGAGAGCACGAGTTCAGGATCGGGAAAGCTGGCGTTTTCACCCCTGGTCTCTGT